GGAGGGAACCTGAGCACAACTTTCCCTCCAGAAGGTGAAAGCCAGCCTTCATTGTGCTCAGCCTGAGTGGGCAGACCCCCAAGGACATTTTTCCAAGGTGCTGTTTATTTACTTTTGTCAGAAGAAAAAAGGAGTGCCCAGGAATGCCGACCATGTATAGCTCCATCAAGAAAGAGGGAACGTTGCTTAGTCTCTTTTCTTACTTTGGTGTTTTCTCCTTCCATTTGTAAATGTGGTGAGATCCTGGAGGAGCAGGGGATGGTGATGCTGCAGGAGGAAATGCTAAATATAAGAGTGGTTAAATGGGAGTTTGGTTATCTCAGCTCTGTGTGAAATAGAAAAAACAAGAACTATGTTCAGCTCCACTGGGCTCAACTGCAAGGGCATAAAATTGAGTGGGCTAAACAGCTCCAGACTGAGAAAAAGACAGTTCAGTCACTGAGATTATACTTAATTGGCACTGTGGGAAGGCAGCCTCTCTGCAATGCAGCCTACACTGTCCCCTCATACAAAGCCTTTTCATGAACTACAGGGGAAATGCTGCCAAACATCTCAGCAAATACCAGTCTTGTAATGTCATCTCAGGAAACAGAGGAGCCTGAAGCCACCAGGACAGTCTCACTGTCCTCATGGCAAGGTCCATCCTTGCCATTCCTGCTCTTTCTGTCCTGGACAATTTGACTCTGTTCACCCATGCCCCAGCTCTGCTAGCAGGCTGGATGGGGACCACATCCACCTCCTATGGCCATGTCAGTAGCTGCATGGGCAAGGTTTTCACATAGGGAAGGACTTGGGTCTTTTCCCATGTCATCAGGTCTTCTTTAATCATTTGTTCAGGATTCATCCCCAGCTGGGAGGAGGCAGAGTCAAAGAGCGAGACAACAAAGATACTTTGTCCAAGCCAGCTTTCCTTGAAGTGACAACACACGCACATGATTCTTCTTCATCACACCAAGAGGCCAAACTTTCCACCATATCTGTGGGTGCACCTGGCTGTGCTGTGATGGTCTGACAGCAGGATTTTGTCCTAAATACACTACTACCTCCCTAGCAGTGCTCAGACTGCTTGGAGGTCTTCTGGTTAGAAGTTATGTTTAAAACAGGATTCCTGGAATACACTGGAGAGATGCTGGTAGAGAGACTTACCGACACCAACTGCAGGGAATTAGGTGACATCTCTGTTTCTCTGTGCTTTCTCTGCTGCTAATGGAAAATTTCCCACAGGAAAATTATATTTTTGGCAACTTTGTCATTGGTAGTTTCCACCTCTTGGTAAAAGTCACAAGGAACCACCAGAATCATATACCATGTAGAATGGACAAGTGATGCACTTGCCCAGGACTTCACGTTACACAGAAGGAGGCTATAACTTCCCTCTGATTTGTTTACATCCCACATTGACTTTTGCATGGGATGTTAGGAACAAGGGCTTGGCTGGACCTCATTCATGCATGCATTTGTGCACACTTGACACACATCTGTGAGTAAGTGCATGTATCATCTATGTTCGTAGCCAACTGCCTGACTTAAACACACAAAGCACGTACAAGTGGCCCAGAAAAAATGAGAACAATTTTGCTGGGGAAGGGGGGTGGAAGGCCTTACTTTTATTTTCCTTTTTTTTTTTTTTAATTGGGCTTTTATGTGTTGAAGGTGTGGTCCAGTTGATTTAGCAAGTTTTTTCTCCAAAGGAACCATTTTACTATTCCTAGTGTATTTTCTCAACTTTGAAACCTGAATCTAAGCCTCTTTTTCCTAATCATGCCTTGAAAATTAAAATGCTTGGAGCCACTGAACTGCTATATCCGTAGGAACACATCATTTTCTTTCCTAAAGGCTGCTTTTTCAGGCACCCTGTTCTGAGGCCAGGCATAGCGGAGCAAGTTCGACTAGGCTGTTTCCAGGGGTCATTCCAGCTGAAATTTGTGGTTACATGAGCCCAGCTTAGTGGCTCCTAACTGGTGAGACAGCAGTTCCCAAGGGAATTAACTCAAGTAACACTGTTTGCTGGAACTGGGAGCACTGGGGAGGTGCCCAGTCAGCCCTGGGCAGAGCCAGCCTGCTCCAGCCATGCCTCCTGGCCCCAGAGCTGGACAGGCTGAGACGTGGAGTTCTGCCAGGGCCCTCTGGTGAAGAATGCTGGGAGAAAGACGACCTTTTGGGGCTGTAGCCGCCACATACACATTATGAAATTCCTCCCCAGAAGAAACAAAGGGGCTGCTACATATAATGCAAAGTCCCCAGTGAGGAGTGTTGCAGATGGTGTGAGAAAAGGACCCCAGAGCAGAGCAGAGGAGCTCGCTGTGTTGTTTTCAGCATTGCCACAATACTTTGCCTTTTGAGCTCAGCCTTGCAAGCTCTAAGGCAAATCAACAAGTTCAAGCAGGAACCTAATTCAAGCCCTGAATAAAACCCATACCTGACAACTTTAATTATTAGGCTGATGCGTCATATTTACATTAATTTGAGCACTACTTAGATTCAATTACAATAATTCTTCCACGTATTCATTCCAAGACATTTCAATGACTTAGCAGATAGCATATATAATCAAAGCTTAGTTAAAGAAACAGGTTTGCTCTCTACAGACATATTGTTCCTTTAACTGGGTGCTGACTACAGCACCCTGTGCATGAGTCTGCATTGATGTGCCTAAAATATTATCAGCATCTGGAATACCGGTGAGTCAAAGGACAGGGACTGGAAAGCCCATAAGCCTTGGCCACAGTCCCAGAATCGAATTACAGCCACTGTGATGGGGGGCCATGTCCACTTTGACATATGCTTTTGCAGTCTGGAAATGCTCTTGGATTCTCCTTTTGCTGTTCATTTATCATCTTGCAGTAATGTCTAGTACAAAGTTTTTTCATCATCAGCTGGCCAGAAAGTTTATTCCAGATGATCTTGAGGTCCCTTACAACCTGATATTCTATGATTCTATGATTCCAGGTGGTACTTGGTTCATTTTCCTTCTCTTTTCCCTTGCACTTTTCAGGAATACAACTTATATCTGTTCAATGTAGAATGTGACAAAGCACTCAAGCAGGATGCCCAGCTAGCAATTCCTTGCACCATATCACAATTTGTTCTAGTTGTTTGATAACTCCCAGGTGCAACCTATGTTATTTGTGACTGATAAGGTATTCAATGATCAGCATTCCCAAAGTGGAGAAACTGTCTCTCAGCTACCAACACCCCAGGACAATACTCCCATACTCATGAGCTACAGAGTGAACACCTACCACACAGGTGTTTTCCACATGGGGTTTCTTTCATTTGCCTGGTATAATATGAAAAGTTGAGATGTACGACAAAGAATTGATCTTTTTGCAGGCATTACAGATAGGGCATATGCAAACAAATTTTATGGTCCAAGTACTATCTGGAGACCTATGTCCTCACAAAACTTTTTCTCAGGATATTGGGGGGAACAACAGTGAGCAGAAAAGCGGTCTCTCTGAACAACAGTTTCACTCTCAAGGTAGGGGATGAGCAAATAAACTGGGACTATTTCAAAATCTAGAAAAAATTCTGTGTTTATCTGACTGTACTACACTTTCCAGCAGTGGGGATTAGTCTCCTGAGCAGTTTGTCTACCCTGAGGAAGATCCTGATTTCGAAGGAAGCGAGAGCTGGCTCTGAAAGTTGCTGGTTTTCATCAATTATTTCCATGTTGCTTGTTCCTCCCAACACCGTTCCCGTGTCCGAGCCTCCCGAGCGCTGCGGACACGCCGTCCCGGGGAGGGGGACCCCGCCGAGCCCCGCCGCGCTGCAGTGGGGTGATCGCTCCACTCGAGGGAGCTCCTGCTTCTGTGAAGCCGAAATCAAATCCTCTCAGCACCTCCAGGCAAAATCCTGCGGGTGACAAACCATCTGTGCCGGTGGGGGCTACACACAGGTCTTCCTTTCCTCTGGAAAGAGGAGGAGGTGTTTGTGTCGGAGTCTACAGAGCTCCTGGGTGAGGTAAAGCACTCCCAAGCCTTTGGAGTTTCAGCCCAGGTTGTACAGGGCTCTGGCCACCCGTCCCAGCAGCTGGATTGGCCACGGCACCCTTTGCACTCCCACCTGTCCTTGTCACCACAGCTGCTGCAGCCAAAAGGCTGCTGGATGAGGATGTGCAGCATGCACCATGCGGGAAGGGGCAGGTTCCCACCGAGGAGCTGGTTGACACAGCTCACAGGACCACTGAAAAATTCAGAAGAGTAGACTTGAGGATCAAGATCTGCTTTGGCTATTGTTTAATCAGCAATAATTGACCTTACTGTATCCTGAACAGTAACTTAGCACCACAGAAGTCTCCATTTTCCCAAGGAGTCACTCCTCTAATGAATCTGTGTGTAAAGAAAATGACTGGGGAGATAATTTCATTCCTTAAAAAAACCCCTCGATGTCACACATCCATGCCTCACATTATCAAGACAGGAACAGGGTCTAGTTAGATGCTTAGAAAGCATCTGCACCTGTGGCAGGACAGCAGGAGAGGAGCTGCTGCTTGCATCCCTGGTCAGTCAGGAATCCCAGAGTGCATATGCTTTTGGAGAAGTCCAGAGGGCAAAATCCATCCCTAGGTTCATTAGAGACAGTTAAACCTGATTCGTCCTGTCTCCAGCCACTCCCTGACTTGTCTCCTGAAAGCCAGCACACACCGAGGAGAGGCGTTCCCCAGCCAGGTCAGGTGTCAGAGGCAGCTTCTCCAGCAAGTTGGTGTGAGTCAGAGTGTTTGGGAACCGCTCCAAGCTATTGGAAAAAAACAACTCCCAAATTAGCTGGGGTGGCTCCCAAGCGAATCCACCTCCGCGGGGAAGGAGGTGATCTAATGAAAGCGTGCGGTCAGAAATCAAAAGAGCCTGGAAAGCATTCCAAGCTGCATAATAAGATTTCACATTTCATATCTTCAAAGCATTAAGTGAACATTATCTAATTAATCCTCACAACACTCCTCAGAGATATTATCCCTTTTTTACAGACGGAGAAACCAAGGCACAAAGTTAAGTCACTTGCCTGGGGCCAGAGAAGGGAGTGTCAGAGCTGGGATTAGAGTCCAGGAGTTCCTGGCGCCCAACTTTTTCCTCAGACTACTGGGTCATGTGTCTTCCCTGCAGGGAAGATAATAATGAGCCCATAATTACCCATACAAATTCCCAGTGACCAGGCTAACCCGTCTGTATAAAGCTATTTGTAATTCCAATAAACACACCCACGATTTAGCTGCGTCCATGAACTACCAGTGTTCTCTCAGCCACAGGAAGCCAGACCTTCAAAGAGGGACTGTTCTTTGACTGAGCAAATCCCAGGTCCAAGACAATCCAGCGACCACGGGAGAACATCTTGTCACTTCTAAATCCCTGGTGACCATCCATGAATGACATGAGCACTGTGGGAGCTCTGGTGGCAAAGTAAGGTTTGTGGAGAGAGGGAATAGAGCTGGAAAAAATGGACAAGCCCTTTGGGCATGCATGCCCTTTTCCAAGCCTGATGCAGAAACAGAAACTTTGTGCTCAGTATAGAGTGAGGGCACCTCCTCACCATCAAAAAGAGGTTGTGTGGTCAAATGCATTGCTCAGCTCTGTTTGCCAGTCACATAAAACAAGTGATCCCTTCCACACATAGACATGGTTCCCTGAAACCACCTTGACCAGACTCACTGCAGTGTCACTGGAAAACCCAGAAAACCCAGAATACCCCATGCCTTTGGCTCTTTCCCCATCCTGCCCAGGGGAAGAGGGAAGCAATATGCCGTCTCCCTGTTTTTACAGCATGATGAGGCCTCCGTGATTGTACTGTGAATGTGTGCGAGTGTGGCTGTAAGTGTGCCTGTACTTCTGTGGCACCCTCTTCTATCAATATACTTGAACCAGGTGAGCTGAGGCTTAGGCATTGGGTGCCTAGGGTCCTCCATCATTCAAGGTTTTTCTGCTGCCATCTCAGCAGGACCATTTTCCACAAAGCCTCTATCATTCCTACTCAAACTCAACTTATTGTTGTTCCAGAAAAGAGATCACCATGAAATTCCCATATGGGATGTGATCCACTGCTGTGTCAAGCAGCACACAGTATTTTAGCTGAGACTTGCATGTCTACCTGGCTCTTCCCCCATGCTGTGGTGTCTACTCTTGCTTGTGATGTGCTTTGCCAGGGGCACCTATCACTCCTGCCAGGGGCCAGCACAGCACACATTAAACACTGTGAAACATAGGAATAGCCCCTCTTCCTACCATGGCAGCCTCTATGCTTGGGTCAGACAGCTCACAGTGATGCCAGAACTAACAGCTAACAAAATTGTTGGTCCTCATGAGACCTATGGTGCTGCCTGGGTGTTGGACAGGCCTTGGGATGGGCAGGGACACAGCAATCAGTTCTGTCCTCTCTACCAAGGTCAGGACTCAGGCTCGCTCCCCAAAAGCCATATCACCAAAAAGATAAGGAATTACCTGGGTACCTTCTCTCTAGGCACAGAGTTGCCATCTCCCAGACAGGTGATGCCACAGGAGCCTATGGCTCCTGGAGGTTTGCTTCTGCTCAGGCACCAGTGTCAGAGATCCTCCCATACAGCTAAAATGCTGCTTAGTACTTTCGCTGATTCACAGTGATGTGGAGGAGCTCATCTGCTACTTTTCAGCACCTTAGCAATATTTCAAGGCCAGGCCAGGCCAGCAGCAATGATGAGCTCCAGATAATTTGTGCTGGCTGAAAGCAGTCCCACACTGGCCACAGTGCATCCTTAGACCACTGGCCCATTGTCTTTTGGGAGTCTGGGGTTTAGAAAGGGCAAGGAGGACAGGACAGCCTTGGGGAGACATAGGAGGCCACAGGAAGTGTCTTCAAAATGGGAAAAGAGAAGGTTCAGAAAGGGGCAGCAGCAATGAGTTTTCCTCCAAGAAGGGTTGGACACTAACAGTCTGTAAGTGCTCTGTGTGGTGTGATGGCACCTTGTTGTTGAGGACATAAAAAAAGGGCATTTCAAAGATTTAAAAAAAAAAAAAAAAAAAAAGTAGCCATGTCAGTCAAGCTCCAGGTTACTGCATCAGGACCTCAATGGGCTGTGGGACAGACCAACTGCAGAATAATAGAGGAGCATTTGGGAACATGAACAACTGTTCGTCAGCCAAGAGTTGCACAGTAAAGCCGGCTGCTTAGTAGCAGAAGAGGGACCTCTCAGCATTTAGGGTCATATTTCTCAAACATGTTCAAAACCTGCTCTGGTCCCAAGTTTTTAGTGCACCCCTTTGAGGACACTCATTGTGGTGGCAATGCTTTCAAAGTACAGAGCAGTAGCTTCTGCTGAGCGCCAAGTGCTCTGCACAGAGAACTGCTTTGGTGCTGTGCTGAAATGAGAGATGCTGCTTTTTGGAAAATCTGGCTTTTCCTTTATTTTTTTTTTAATTTCTTATAACTGTTTTTATTTATATATCCAAAATAATCATTAAAAGAAATTAAAGCCACACTTTTTTTACTAAAATACTTTCATGGTTTTTTTTTTAATAATTATGGTAAATGAACATACACATTTCATTTAATCTTTATACTTATGAGCAGATTTACTCTTGTGAGCAATCAAATTGCTTTTGCCTCACTTTTTTGATCCAAGGACCAAAAAATCCTGTGCAAGAACTTGTGTAATTAGTTTATCAAGTCATAGATTTGGTTTCACTGCAATCATTACTCAAAGTTCAGAAAAGCTTCTTGTTGGGTCATCTCCCACTAAGCTCAAAAAATAAAAATATGTATGTCTGTGTATATCTCTCCCCACACATGCAGACATTTATAAAAAAAGGGTTGACAATAAATACTGACAGACAAGAATTAGATTATTCCAGAAATACTGCAAATCATACAAATAATTTTTTTTTTCTGTAAATGATGTTTCAATGACATAAAGCGATAGTATGAAATGGCCTGTTAGAGGCTCATTAGACACTGACAGCTGTAAGCATTTCAGAATGCTATATTAAAAACATCTGCAGAAAGGAAAAAAATAGCATTAAAAAAAGAAAGGAATGAAAAGTTGAGAACACTTCCAACTCCTTGCATCCAATTTGTTGTCTGGTAGCTGCTGAAATTAGGAGTGACCAAGACCTGATTTCAATAACCTAAATATAGCAAGGGCCAGATCTTTGGGATCTGGGACAATGTGCCTCAAGTTACACATTTTTGTCTTACATTGCCCAGCTTGTGGAGCATGTGTTTTGTGAAATGTGTTTGTGCTGCCATCACATGGGAGGTGGTTCCAATAAGCAATGTAACCACTGCACCACCAGTTTCTTACCAGTTCTGATCTAGCAAAGGTTTCACTCAACATGCTCAAGACAGGTTTCAGACATGAAGAGATCCTGGGCTGCAAAGGAAGACAAAAATGTTTGTTTAGGATATCGTGTAGTAATAGGAAAATACATGTGGAGTCAATCACCCAAAATCCAGATGCAGCTACTGTTTGGCATCTGCTTCTGCTGTTTCTAATTTTGTTTTGCCTGAAGCTGAGTTACTGTACCTTTGGTGTCCTCAGCTACCAGGTGCTGTCATGCAGACAAGGAATCCAGAAGGAGATGACCTCATGGTGCCTCTACAGCCAAGTAACACAAAAGGGTTTAAAAGACCCAAACAAACCAACCCCCCCCATCCCCTGCCTCCTAAGCTGGAGCCATGAGCTGGTCTGATCTCTGAGTAGGGGCATTTTGGAGGCAACCTTGCTGATCTTAGAAGGCTCCCGAGGCTTTTGGGCATCGCAAAGCAGAGAGATATCTCGCTCAGAAGGGTGGGTGGGAGGAACCTTTCCAGAAAACTGATACACGAAGAGACTTGGATGTTTTTTGCAGTTTTGATTGCTAAATGAATGACTTGCAGCCATGGACTGAAGCTATTCCTCCTCTTTTGTTGAAGAAAAATATACCTCTACAAAGTTAAATTGGAATTGTAAAACTTTGTGAAATACTGTTCTATTTCCTAAATAGAGCCATTAGTGTTTGAAGGTGGGAAGTATCAACAAGAAGACATATATGTACAATTTTAATGTAAGATTTTTAAATTAAATTCTAAGTTATTCATTTTTATAAGAAAACTTCCTGAAATTCCAGCTACCTTTGGAAGCAGGAACACCTGATGCCTGGAAAATGGACTGACATCAAGGCAGAGTTCTCCAAGCATTTGAAGCTGCTTACTCCTCACAAGACAGAAAACCTGAAAAGGAAAAATATCTCTAGTGGAAACCCATTGAAATGTAGGAAGGTTGAGCAAGCGTGTTATACCATTGAAACAGGAAACTAAGTCCCTCTTGAGAACAGGATGAATCTGAAAATTTAAAAGCCCAGCAACAAGGTCAAGTTCCTGAGACTCCAGTTACTGAGCATCAGCCGAGCTGTGTGTACTCTCAAAATGCCAAGTAATGCAACTGCACATAACCTAAGTGAAAGAAGGTTTGATTGCATTTGAAGCATTTTGATGATGCTCTCAGGCACATGGTGTGACTCTTGGGCATGATCCTCTGTAGGGATAAGTGTTGGACTTGATAATCCTTGTGGGCCCCTTCCAGCTCAGCATATTCTATGATCCTGTGACCCTTTACAACTTCTGCAGCCTAACCTGCACATATCCATGGACAGTCTCTGCCCCAGCTGACATGTAAGTTGGGCAGCTGCAGTAAGTTCTGAGCTGGAGACACAGTGGGTGTTTGTGCGTCTGGTCTAAAGCCTGTAGGAGCTTGTTGGTAACTTCACTTTTGGCTTGGGCCAAAATCCAATGAGGTGAAAGGAGAGCCACTACACATACTGATCTGTTACACCTAGACAGTCCTTCTGACATGGAGACACAGATTCCCCCTTGCACCTAGTGTGTTAATGGAAGAAAGTGTCAACACATGAACAGAATCTTTTTGATTTTTCTCCTTTTTAGGCTCTCCCAAATTGTTTGGAAACAAACCAAATCTCACAAAACATTTCGCTGAAGTGTTGCGCTTCAGCATCAGTCTAACTTCCAGCAGTCCATTTACCCAAAGCCATCCTTCGACAGATATGAAGTATCCCTTCCTCTTGCCAATCCACAGGGAATTTCATGGGCAATTACTTCCTGCTTCCATCTTGAACCAAGGACTTATAGAAAGATTTATTTCTGAGCAAATATCTGAAAGCTTCTCTGGTTGTGTCTAAATATTTGTGTTCATGTCTACATAGTAAAGATTGCATCTCATATAAAAGAAAGAGGTACAGACAAATAAAGTAAGTCTCAGTGACAAAGTAAAGTGACAAAAACTGTGAACCGGTTTGAAGGTTAGACAAATGGCTCCTGAGGCTCAGATCACAGCACTGTAACTTCATTGTTAACATTGCTAAATGCAATTTCACACAATCTTAGGAGAGGTATTCTGTACAGCACAGCTTTCATAATTAAGAAGAAAACTATTGTCTCTTTTCCAAGTCAAATAAACCTTGTTTATCTGGGGGATGGGGAAGGAGGGAGAGAGGGGAATAAGTGCAGTGAGCTGGTCCGAGAGACAATTTTGAAATTTTAGATCAAGAGGAGTCTGAAAGTCTGAGCTGGGGACAAAGGACCCATCTGCAGCATCACACAGAAAGCTCTCAGGATCCTGGCTGTGAATACTCAGGACATGTTGAAAGCCTAAAGACAGACCTGACCCAACACTGTGGAGCCAGAGGGCAAACCTGCAGCATGCACAGCATCAAATCCCAGCAGACACAAGCAGAAGGGACACAAAGGCAGTGTGAGCTTTCCCCATCTGCTGCCCTGACTGCACAGCACTGCCTGGACAGGCTTTGAGCTGGCCGCAAGGTCAAAGTTACCATGGTGTTGCCTGACAGCAACAAGAATGCAAGGACATTCTCAATGCAGGGTGGGATGGGGCTTGCAGATGGAGGAGTTTGTATTTTGAGTCTCATATGGTGGCCACTGAGAGATGGTCTGAGTAAACATTATCAGTCCTATGGGAGGGCAGGCTCAGAAATTATCAGGGCTAGAGTTACCTGCCATTCTTCATCAATTTAGTTTGAAGGTCTCCCCTGTGCCCTCACTATATTGCCACATCCTGCTACTTGCTCTGCTGACCACGAGCTAGGAGGAAAAAAGCTTCAAACAAACATTTTTGTTCTTAAGAAATCTTGCAATTACAAAGATTCACTTTAAATGTGGTGCTTCTGGTGATGTGCTTGATGTTCCTTCTTTCATCTGCTGGACTCGAGCAATAAAGTCAGTAATTGTGGCCATTCTCACTGTAAGTGCAGCAGGTTCATAGTGCCAACTGAGATGTATCGTTTGCGATGAGTGGCAAGGTTTGTGGCTAGATTTAAGCTGAGTCCCTGGCAAATTCCAATGCTGACTCCACTGGAAGGTCTTCAGAGACAGCCTCTGGTGCTGTTTTGGATTCAGGCAATTGCTGGTTTGGCCTCTCTCTCGTGTCTTCTTGGACATAGCTCTCCTTTGTCTTTCTCTACGTGACATGTATTCCCTCTGAAACAATTAGGACCTTCACAAGCTCTTTGTTTCTAATTCTGGGCAGTTTAGCACGAAGTATATTTATGCTAATTGCATACTGAAAGTACACTTGGCTTGGCTTGGTTTTTCCTTGTTAGGACTTTCAAGATATTTGTCATTGCTGGGAGGAACATTGGAGTTGGGAGAGTTGCAAACTTTAAGGGTCTGCCCTCACATGCTTTATGCTCTGTCCTAGAGTAGCATGGCATAGAGTATTGATGTCTTCAAAGTTTTCCAGCCCTTGTTCCATTTTCAAATGTCAGATCTACTTTAAAACTTCATGGTTCCCACCCAAGCAAGCATATCTGTTCTGAACTTGACTGATGTCAGATCTGAGCAGATCTTCCCTTCAATGGAGCAGAGATGGGAGGGAACCAAAAACCTTGTGAACCACTTTAGCAAAGTGTGTCCCAAGCCTGAGGCTGTGGATATGGTGCATGAAATGAGCTCTTGAATCAAAAACTAGCTCAGGTATCTCTACATGGAACATATTCAGGTTTTGCATAGAAGTGATCTCCAGTGGATGGGCTGTTGGAAAGTCTGCTTTGAGTCCCTACTGCCTCACAGCCTCCTTGAGTAAGTCATTAGGGTACTGCTAATGCTGTACTGATATTGCTAACTCTCTTCGTCTCTGTGCTCTTGCCCTGCAGCATAAGGGTCCACATGGGGAGCTATGGTTCTGTAGTTACATCATGCAGTTGCCCATGAAGATCAGCCTCTAGCCCCTGCTGTGTCTCAATCTCCCAGTGAGAAACTGCAAATAATATATTTATCCCTTCGAGGAAGGTTATGGGAGCTCCTCTGAGGAGTTCAGATACCCTGGTGGGATGGGTCCTGGAAGTGTAGGTTCCTCTGGTCAAAAGAGAGGTTACACTGCACTGTTGCCAAATTCAAACAGTAAAAGAGATAAAAGCATATTTTTAGGAACCTTACAAATTGCTGCAAAGAATTTGCTGTTCAGATAGTGCTGTTACTTAAATGCCCACAAACAATGTTTGCCTCCATGCTTTTTCTTCTTCCCTCCCCTCCTTTTCTCTTTCCTACATTCTTAGGTCTTTTCCCACAGTAAGCTGTCTCCAGTATTTCTGCTTTCCATTCCTCAGGCTGTCCCCAACAGCAGAAACCAATGTCGTGATGACAACAATTATGGTGTAACTGAAACTAAAATGTAAGAAAGTTCTGCAAAATATTAGTTATCCCTGTACTGTATATCCCTGCACTGTATATCCCTGTACTGTATATCCCTGTATCCCTCCACTGCACAGTCCTTCTAAATATGGTATCAGGAGGCTGCTAAGTAATCCAGGAAAATTATATGATCTTGCACAAGCAAGTGTACTACAGCACTCTTTAAAACACCTTTGAAATATCTTCAAGCTGGAGAGGACACCATGATGACTTTCTGACTTCCATAGAAAGAGAAGCCTTGGAGTTTTTTACCCACCCCCACCAGGAATCAGGGAGATGACTGAGGACTGTTTTTTCATGTATTAAGGAAAGAAGGAAATAGGAGGGGTTTTGTTTGTTTTTGGTGTATCTGTGCTTCTTTGGTCAAAATTCTGTTGTAAGTTGCAGGTATGAGTGTTAAAAGAATATCCTCTATTTCAGATGATAAAAGGACGAGGGTGCCATGTCAAAGTTGCCTGGGGAAAGATGCACACAACCAGGCATGTCTGCAGGGTGCTTTGCAGACTTTGATCACATGCCCAGGCCAGCCAGGTACGACCCAGCTGCGAACTGGAGGCTGGTGGCCAGCCCAGACGCTGTTGAGATTCTGCCTTGCAAGGCAGGGTTAACTCAACCTGATGAGATACTGACATATCTCCACCAGGCCCTGGTTATCTTCAAGACTATGTGCAAGCCCATGTTGGCATAGCAGGTGGAGCTGATTCTCCTGTTTTTTCTGTTTCAGAAAACCTGATCATCTGCACTCCCTTTTGTGTGGGAACATCCTGCCCATGACATTGGTGTGCTTGATAGGCATGTGAGGGACCCTAACTTAAAAGTTATACAACTTTCCAAGCACAATCCTCTTAGAGCCCTGTCAGTGGTACTTCAGCAAGGTGTACATGTTGATCCATCCAGAAAAAATTCCATCCAGACAGGCAGCTGTGTCTCTCAGTGCTTGGGAGCATGCAAGTAGATTTCATTAATAAAATTGTCTCCGAATCCCGGTGTTGCATTTTGCAGTCATTTTTAGTTTGCTGCATAGTAATGACAACAGAAATCTAAGCCTGGGCTGCAAATCCCAGGCCAGGAACAGGGTCAGTGGCCACTGTGAGCTCCCAGATGCTGCTGCAGTGATAGGGAGAGCTGGCATACCTGAGACTTTGAGCTCTGGTGCAAGTTGTTAGCACAACCCTGTCCTAAATGCAGTTATGGGACAAGAGCTAGAAAGGCTTTGGAGTCAGCTCCACCTTCAGCTCATTTTGAGGTGGAATCAAACCCACCTTTACATCTTCTGCCCAAGGGACCTAGTTGCCTGGGGCGGGATGGGCTGGAGAGGACATGCTGTCTGTAAGCTTAATTCAAAGCATTATGAGCAGGCCCTGATCCTGCTGGCTGATGTGCTTCCTGAGCAGCCAAGAGTACCAGAAGAGAGCAGAAAATGGCTGGCACCAGGATGGCCCTTTACACTCTGGGATTTCCCGATAGTGAGCAAGTCAGTGGTTAAAATTACTTTCTGTTTGCTTTACCTCAAAAAGAGATGCAGTCAGCATCTGGCCAAAATATCCCTTGGATATTACTTCAATTTATCTTTCAGCTTAGACTATATCAATTTCCCAATCTTCAGCCTTATGAAGAAAGCCTTATGAAGGCTTATGAAGAAAATGGCATCTTACAGACCAAAAAGACTTAACTGTTTAAAAAAATAGCTGGCAGTGGGTGTGTGCTGCTGGATTTATGGCTGAGAAGGTAACACACAGGCAGTGCCCTGCACTTTGATAACTTAGCACTTCTGTGATGTGTGAATGAAGTCCAGCAGGCCTAGGACCATGCTAATCTCCAGGGTTTGATCTCTGTCTGTAATGAGATGCCGGCAGCTTGTACTTCAAAGCCTGCATTGATACAGATAATCTTGTGAAAGGCTCTCTGCATTTTGAGCCAGCTTGTATTAGGGATTACAGTGACAACAGGAGGAGATGATGGAAGAGGAGGCACTCTCACTCCTTCATTTTCTTTCTAATATTCCTTTTGTTTTTAATTTCCAAAGGGTGGTGTGGTCCCATCCCCCCACCCTCATCTCAGCAGGACTCACTCTATCAGATGAACCCTGTGTGCTATGGGGCAGGCAGGCTGCCCAAGGTGCTCTTCTGCCCAAGACGTCTGTGAAAATTTGTCCATTTGGCGCTGAAGTGGTCGATGCTACATCATCTTGGTTGAAATATGGGCAGAGATTGCATTAGAAATGGCACAGGCAGTTAAATGTTACACTTCCAAACTTCTGAGGTTATTCCTTTCTCAAAACAGTTGTTGGGGAGTAAGGGAGAGAGTAAAGATTACAGTAGACCACAGGCTATGAGAAGCATGTTATAAAGCAAAATGAACACTAGTTTCACATACACAATTATGCTTTCTGTTGAAAGTATATAATTTTCAAGGCGTGTCTGACCAGGAAACAGAACTGAAATATTTTTATGTTGACGAACACTACTGATCTAAGAGAAAAACAATGGCAAACGTGTATCTTGATTGTTCTTCCAGCAAGAGCATTCTCAGAAATAAACCAAAAACTAGACTATAAGTTTAATTGAAATAGATAAAGTTTAATATTTGGGACCCCAGTAATGACTACATTGTTCTCAGAAACCTTTTTGAAGACAACTTATATATTTAAGAACAGTTAAACCTGTATTTTTCAGGCCTAAAAAATAATAACGTGGCATTTAGTCTATATTTCTGCCTGTCTTACAGGGACACCATCAATGACTGCAGAACACTGAGAGAAATCACAGAGGTAGGATGAGCAGAAAAGTTCTTGCACCAAATTCATTCAGTCACGCTCATATGCACTGGCCATTTGCCACACGGGGACATGAAGCCTGGGGTAGGTTTCGGGATGCTACCACTAGCAGCATCCAGGCATTAGCAAGTGAGTGACTCCACAGAGGAAATTCAGCCCTGTCCTCAGGAAAGAGTGACATACTGGGCTGGTTCAAGATCTCATAAAGGAAACATCCCTTTGGGTTTTAAACATCACACTTAGATCCAGCATCCGTTCTTGAGCAAAAGAGCCCCATAACTCTTTCACAGACGTGATAGAATGCAAAGATGTAAACTGTATAAATGAGGAGGCAGAACAGAAGCTGAGGCAGATAAATCTTTCCCGCAATATGAAGAGCATTGGATGGCAGTCATAGCACTGGGATCAGAGTGATATACACAGCACCTATCAGGAGAGCCTTGGGAAAGCGTAGATGTTTGCCTTGCTGAATCACCAGATTAAAGAGCTGATTGATTTCCAAAAGCATCATTCAAGCAACTTTATCCAAATGGTAATGGCAAATTCAGTGGTCTAAATTTAAAAATATAATTCGGCTACAAAACAGTTTAGGGAGCAATGGCATAAAAAAGAAAAATTAAAGCTGCTCTAAGCACTGCTTCAACATATCAGAATCAAAAGGTTTGGCAGAGGTCTGTGAGGACGGCTGAAGTCTGGGGTCTAAAAACAGTGATTGAGTAGGGCAAGGCCACTGCAGAGGAGCAAGGTGAATTCTTGGTGCCCATGAGCTCTTGGGAGATTCCCACACTGGAATCTTCTTGAGAGAGGACTTGGCTAGGGTGTCTCCAAAATTTAGGGGGATTGCATGGAAGAAACCAAGGCAAAAATAGATGGGATGGGGCCCACCAGACTGCTAAGAGGAAACAGCAAGAGATTCAAGACTACCTAAAGATGTCTCGATTTAAGTGCCCACCTTGCTGAACAATGCATTGGTATGTCGTGAAGCAAAAGAGCCACCAAGGTTAAGAAAAGTATTAGGAGGATCTGGGGCACTGGAGGTATGTAAGTCTGAGGTCTGTACCAGCCAAAATAATAGAAGTTACAATAGAAGATCAGACTAGGGAACACCTTAAAACATAGATAATGATACACTTGGTAAGAGCCAGCATGGCTTCTGGAAATATTGCCTCTCCAATTTCTCAAAGTTCTTGAAAGAAATGATGAATGTATTGCTAAAGGTTATCTAGGAAAGTCTCTCCCCATAGACTTCTAGGGAAACTAAGAAACTAAGGGAAGGGAGAAATTCTGGCATAGAGAAATAGCTGAAAGTCAGGAAATAGAGCACAGGCAAAATGGTTGTTTAGCTCAATAGATGGAAGTTACCAGTAGAAATTTCAAGGATCTGCACTGAGGTCTATTCTGTTCAAAACACCAATAAATAACATGGAAAAGGGCATGAGCAATAAGAGACAAAGGTCACACATGATACAAAGTTGTTTAAAGTAATAAGGGCAGGTTATGACAAATTGCAGAAGCATCTTGTGAGACTGTATGAAATGTCAGGTGAAGTTTTGTGCAGCTAAGGATAAAGAAAAAAAGCGCCATGAAAACCAGTCGTAGTTTCACACATCAGATTTTGATCACTGAGTTGACTGTTTTCTTTTGAGGAGCAAGTCTTTAGGATTAGGACAGGTGACTCCATAAAAGTACTGCTGCAGTGCTGCGGGGCTGTGGAACTACTTGAAAAAGTATGCAAAGGAGGGAGGTAGTTTTAATCAGTTCAAGGGAAGACTGAACAAGTACTTGGGAGAAAATCCATTGCAAGTCACTTGACAAATTGCCATTTGGGTTCACAAAAAGCCCAGTGCCTCTGCCTCATTCCTCTCCTGTCCCCAGACCAGGCTCCCTTTGAACTCCTTACCTCTGGGGCCCTTCGGTCCTTATGGGGAGAAGTGAAGCCACAAATGAGATGAACACCTGAGAGCCTGTGGGGGCTCTGAGAAGGCCAAGGGGGGACTATGACCAGGTGGAAATGAGGCAAAGTTAACTGCACGGAGGAATGAGCCTACATAACTGAT